GGTTCATGGGGGAAGGGGGAGGGGAAAAAAGGAAAATGAGTTGATTCCGGGAACCCAAGAGGAAAGCGAATTTTGGGAATGATGAGGGCAACAAACGTATAGGTGTGCTTTACACAATTGATATATATAGTGTGATGAATTGTATGAGCCCCAATAAAACGATTAAAAAATAAGATCATGCTTGTCATACCTAAAATCTTTACTAGCTAAATGAATGTGCTTATTTGCTAGATAAAACTACATCAGTACATTTTCAGTAGGCCCTGCTCTCTGTGCTAAAATATGTATGTGCTTTACTGTTAGGCTTTGCTTCATTTTATAAAGTATATGAAATGTAATTCAATAGAAAACTATTTTGATAATTAGTATAAAGAAAAATAAAGAGATATGGAAAGAATAGTGGTTAGACGTACAGGCTGGAGGAAACAGAATACAGATAAAGTCTAAATAAATAAAGTAGAACACAAATAGTATATATTACACTTTTAAAACATTGTTAAATCATAAATTTCATTTTGTGTTTCTTCTGAGCATGCAGTTCTCAACATTGGCTTATACAGTGAATTGCCTGTCTTTGTTATTAGGTGGAATTGAGTTGGTTCCAAACCATAACAATCCTATGTATAACAGAATTGAAACACTGTGCCATCCTGGGCCGTCCTTACAATTGTTCTAGTGCCTGAGTCCATTGTTGCAGCCACTGTGTCAATCTATCTTGTTGAGGGGCTTCTTTTTTTTTTCGCTGCCTCTCCACTTTACCAAGCATGACAGCATGCCCAAATATTAAGATGAAGGATCACCATTGTTGCTTCTAAGAAGCGCTGGTCTTACTTCCTTTTAGCAGTCCATGCCACTTTAAATATTCCTCTCCAGCACCACTATTCAAATGCATTGATTCTTATTCAGTCTTCTTTATTCGGTGTCCAACTTTCACATAACACATGAGGCAATGGAAAATACCATGGCTTGGGTCAGATGCACCTTAGTTCTCAACGTAACATTGTTGCTTTTCAGTACTCTAAAAGAGGTCCTGTGCACCAGATTAACCTAATGCAACACATTTCTTGATTTTCTGTGAGCATTGATTATGGATCCAAGTAAGACAAAATCCTTGACAACTTCAATGTTTTTTTCTATTTATCATGTTACCTATTGGTCCAATTGTGAGGATTTTGGTCTGCCTTACCTTGAATTGTAATCCATGTTGAAGGCTGCAACCTTTGATCTTCATCAGCAAGTGATTTAAGTCACTCTCACTTGAAGCAAGCAAGGTTGTACCATCTGCATATCACAGGTTATTGCTAAGCCTAACATCAATCCTGAAGCCACATTCTTTTTCATATAATCCTGTTTCTCTGATTATTTGTTCAGCATAGATTGAACAGGTATGGTGAGAGGATATAATCTTGACATACTACCTTTCCTGATTTTAAACCATGCAGTTTGTTCTGTTTGCACAACTGCCTCTTAATCCTTGTACAAGTTTTTCCTGAACACAATGAAGTGTTCTGGTAGTTCTATTCTTCTCAAAGCTATCTATAGATTATTGTGGTCTACACAGTCGAATGCTGTAGCATAGTCAATGAAACACAAATAAACATCTCTCTCATATTCTCTGCTTTGAGCCCAGATCCATCTGACATCAGCAATGATGTCCCTTGTTTCACATTCTCTTCTGAATCCAGCCTGAACTTCTGGCAGTTCCCTGTCAGTGTAATGCTATAGCTATTGTTGAATGATCTTCAGCAAAAATTTACTTGTCTGTGATATCAATGATACTACTGTTGTAGTTTGAGTATTCTGTTGGGTCTCCTTTCCTTGGGATGGATCTTTTCCACTCATTTGGCCACTTGCTATCTTCCAAATTTTCAGCCATAGATGTTTACTTCAGCTTGCTGAAACATTCAATTAGTATTCCATCAATACTTGGAGCTATGTGTTTGGCCCTGGTGGTATAGTGGTTATGTGTTGGTCTGTGATTCGCAGGGTTGGCAGTTCAAAACTACCAGCAGCTTTTCAGGATAAAGACTGAACTTTCTACTCCCACAAAGGGTTACAGTCTCAGAAACCCACAGGCGTTAGCTATGAGTCAGCATTGACTTAAAGGCAGTGAGTTTGGATCAAGTTTTGTGTTTGGCTAATGCATTTAGTGTAGTTTGAACTTCTTCCTTCAGCATAATTGGTTCTTGCTCATGTGCTAC